CATGTTTTAATTGGGGTGTGGACGTCACATCCTGTAGGGGGGTCCGGGGGTATGCCCCCCCGGGAAGAAATGTTTGAAAATGTAAAGTAAAATGCTTCAATCTGGTGCACTTTGAGCACACATTACTAGAGACTAGATCTAGGGGGTACAACTCTAAACAACCATATTAAAAAGATCGGTTTACATTTTAATAACCAAATATGTGAACATAACCAATAACCTACCATAGCCAATAACAAATAAATGTAACTTATTTTATTTTTGTTGTTCATTCATATCTTATTTTACCTAGTTAAAATTTATTTATGCATATTTTTATATCTCTCAAGTTTTAAACGATATTTTTGGTTTACTGTCCTATAGTATACATTGAAATGATTTCAAACCTGTTTATCCAAATAATTATAAAGGAGTGCCTTGGAAATATTTGTTTACATAAATTGCATTTATCTCTCTCGCTCGCTCCCACACCCACTTTGGCTGTGAGCTGCGGGCGCCTGATAAGCCAACACCCCCCATTTCATCACTTACAGCGCCCATCGTACAGGGCAAATGAAAAGTGTAACCGGGGTAAAAAGGGTGTTACCTTTACTTAATTATGAATGTTGTTACATCAAGGCTGAAAATTAGGATGAGCGCAAACAGTCAAAAAGGTTTTTTTCCCCCCCCAGATCTGGCGCCCTAGGCGACCGCCTATGCCAAAACCGGCCCTGTACACCATGCTAAATGTATGTCTGCATAAAGCTGAGTTATGATCAGTCATAATAACACAGAATTTGGTGATGATTAAATAGTTTACAGTGAGATTTACTCCCATACTTTTGGCCATACTCACGCAGCCCTACAAATGAATTGAGATTTCCACACAAATGTTCTTTAGCAAGTGTGCAGAGTAGTGTTGATTTAAAAAAGCAATTTGAAGGTTGGATATTTGTAAACCTTTTTTTGTGTATATATATTAATAATTTAAGATGTTAATGAATTCCAGTTTATTTGTAGTACTTTCTATTTTTATTGTGACATTTGATGGCATCAATGTGTGCATTTGATACAGATAATGGAGCAGTTGCTTTAGGGCCACAGTGTATATCCCTTAAGGTCAAATAATGAGATCCTCGACCTCCGCCCCCCTCTCGCACCTCCATACAGAGCCCCCCCACATATCAAATCCCAACTTAACCCCTGCATGTAATCATTTACAAAACATCACCATGTTGTTATTTAACAAAATAATGTTGTTTAGTCGAAAAAAACGAACGAGATTACTACTCAATTGTAATACCCTCGTTGTGCTAGACTCAAACACATTGCTTATATATTTCAAAGAGAAGCGAACAAAAGAAAACACCTATACAAAGAGAGCGGTGCACAGCGCTTAATATTTACTTGCACTATATTTCTGTTTATCTGGGTTATTGTGTTGCACTGTTGGAGGAGCCTGTGACCTAAGATTTTCATTGTCATAACTACACTGTAGCTATGTTCGTATGACAAAATAAAAAACCTTGAACCTTGAGGCTGTGTCTTTCAGACAAACCATCATAATCATATTATTTTATGCTGTGGATACTTTAGCCTCCATCCATGTTAACCATTTTTTACACTTGCATTTATGAATATAGTTCTGCTGTGTTTTACACTTTTGTATTTATGTTTATAGTTTGCTTTGATATTTGCTTAATTTATTAGATTATTATTATTATGGGGCAGTAAGTACTGGTGCTTGAAATTCAAATATTTACTAAATAGTCAATTCTGATCACATTTTTTTGGTTTAAATAATTTGACAAACACATGTATGTGAAAAAAAAAAGATTTATTTATGTTCAATACAATGAATATTTAGGTATTACATTATACATTCTAGGTATTCAGGTAGCGCATCAGACCCTCTCGTATGTCCCTGCCCTCCTCTGCACCTTGTGCCACTGCTACCCCTGGTAGACGTAGGTTTCCTCAGACATCCTGAAGTTCTCCACCCACTGAGTGTGTGTGAAAGATGGAACAATCACATTCCACCACTCGGTAGCTCGGTCGAGCATCCAAACACATGGTCTAAGGCGGCGACGTAACTTCTGAAATACACGCAACTTCTGAAATACACAAACAAAAGCATACATATTTTAATACGTAAAAGTGGTAGCTACAATTAATTAAATACTTGAAATACTTTGGTCGTATAGGGAGCGTGAGCCTAAACACATTGCTAGTTAGTTAGCGAACGTTAGCTTACCAAGTAGCATTGTAGTTAGTAGTAGTGATTCGAGTCGTCCTGTTGTCTCTGCGGCGTAGGACTGCCCGAACTCTCGTGTCAGCTTCTTCTATACCTCGTCTTGCTATAAGTCGCCTCTTTTGAAACAACTCTTGCCTATTTCTTGTGATAATAAACCACACAGCAAGAAACAAGCAAACGATCGCTTCCACATCTCCACATCCTCCATTGTTGTGTGTTGTGTTGCATTGAAGATGACGTCACGGCAGTTTTAAGCAGCGTCGCTCCGCCTACACTGCGTTACTATAGATACTACCCCAGTTCCTAAACTGTAATGGAAACGCGCCATAAAGTGAGCTGGTCCTAACGAGGCCAAGCGCGGCCAAGCGAGGCAGAGCGAGGCCGAGCGAGGCCGTGTAGTGGAAAGGCGCCATTAGAGAAGCACTGGAATAGAGGACAGAGAGAGTAATGAACAGGAACAAGACGGAGAGACTAAAGAAGATGGACCTGGGTGCAGGTTATGGAAAGGAGAGAGACATGGAAAATGAATGTTGACAATGTTTTGTGATAATTTTAGCCTCTTCTGCATGTCCAGATCATTAATAGAAACAATCAACTGATTCTTATGCATTACACTTTCAAAATAATAACTGACATGGTTTGAAATCAATATATTATCCAATTTGTGACCCCCCACAGGACTTGAAAAGCAACTAACTAGATCATGAAAACTCCCCGGAGCAGAGCAAGGCGACGAAATTTAAAGGGGACCTGTCATGCAAAATGCACTTTTGTACGTCTTTTATACATGAATATGTGTCCCCGGTGTTCCAGGGAACTCACCAAGTGTCAGAAAACACAACCCTCTCTATTTTCCTCCATACCCAAATCTCTAAAAAAGGGGCTGCAACGGATCTGATAAAAACTGATCCAGATTTGAACACTGTCCTGACGTCAGGACGGTGGCGCTACGGCTATTGGGCCAACTCCACCAATCACAAAAAAGCGCTGGAGACGCTGTAGTACATATACCAGGCCTGTAAGTGGCGCTGTAGTCTGCCACAAAAGCAGCGAAGAAGACTTCCCGCCCATAGTTACCATGGTTACCCTTCTGTTTTCTCCCTCCCCGAGGCAAGCTCCCACTGCTTTAATTCAATGCAATCCCTCCCCGTCGAGGCAAGCACTGTAATTCTCTCCGGTTAGTCCACCAGCAGATGACAAACACCCACCTCTCCGCCTCTTCCAAGGAACGAGGGGACCGTGCGGCAGAGTTTCAGTTTCAGTTTCTTTCGCCGGTCAAGATGTCCTGGTTATATTTAATAAAAGAAGTAGTTCAAAACACCAGAATAAAGGTTATAACAATAATCTGATTTTACTGGAAAAAACACTTATACAAATTTACAGAGTACTCTGGACTTCCAGTTCTACTGCCGTGCGATACAGGTATCGGGACCAGCCAGTCAGAAACAGGAAGCATTTTGCATGAATAAACAACAGTATTCATAAACATATTTTGGGGCGGAGATGTGTTGACTCTTCCGTCCCATTTTACTCCGAAGCGAATCAGAGAGTCCGTGGGGAGGAGCTGTGTGAGCTGCTCACTCCCCCAGGTGTTTTTACTGGTTGGATTCACTTCTGGTCGGGTCCAATACAGCGAATCAGAGTTCTGGGAAAAAAGTATGTTTCTTCTGAGATCTTCGGAAGTACACAAGGACAGAGTCAATCTTTATCTCTGCACCTGTATTCACTCCTTTACTTTCCCAAGGAATATTTCACACAAACTATTCTTTCCCAGACAACCAAACATTGTACACAGATATATTGATGCCCAGAAAGGACCTTGAAAAGAATATGTGTGTGTGCTGGTGGGAGGAGGTGTATGTGTGTGTAGCAGGATATCTGGGTCAGTGGGTGTAAGTGAGAAGAGAATATATATGGGATTACTTAAAACAGTTCAAACAATACATGTTCACTAAAATACAGTTCAAAATAATACATGTTTACTTCAATACAGTTTAGAACCATATCTGTTAACTTTAGGACGGAGATCTCTTTTTCTCCCCCTCTTCTGACAGCCCAGCAGCTGATCAGAGCACGGCTCCCCTCTCCTGCAGGGGGGCATGGTCAGCAGAATCAGCCCCGTAGACAGCAAACAGCACATAGAGCGAAATGAGGCATGGCTAAAATGCATGATCTGTTTGGTATTTTGAAAACAGAAACGTATAAATATACCTTATATAGGTATGGCCCTACAATATATCATTTAAATATAGCATGATAGGTGTCCTTTAACTGAATAGCCCTGTCTTTAAGTATAATACAATGTAAAGTCCTTTTCCTGCACCATTTTAAGGCTTCAAAACAGGTATTTTTACTGTATGTGTTTGGAGAAATGACACAATAAATGGCCAAGAATTGTTGTTTCATCATTCATCAAAGTTAGCAGAAAAACATGCATTATGGAGGGGACTTTGACAGAGGATTACTCACAAAGTACACAGTAAAAGTACATTATATTTCAGGTAGAAGTCAAAACTAGTACCGAGTCCAACAGTGTCAGTTTCCTTAAGAAAGGTGGTAAAAAATATTTGTATCACTCGTCAAATATAGCAGGAATAATGAAGAGCAGCTGATTTGAAAAAACAAATGCGAGAGGCGGCTGAGTTTTAAAACGTTTTTTTTATATGATTTACTGTAAACGGAATCATCTTTCCGAGAAACCACGTGATCAGTAGGTATGGCCCTACAATGTGAAAGAGAAAGTTACTTCACTTAGCAGTATAAAATGACACGCGTGCCATTGGATTTTTGCATTACCAGAGAAGAGCAGAGCTGTTAACTCAGGACAAATGAACTTATAACAAAATATTGCATATAGAGTAGTTTAAAGACTGTGGGAATCAAGAACAGCCTTTCACCATGGTTATTCCATAAAGGTAGGAAACAATTTCTTTGTCTGTGATTGATGTTGTATTTTTCCTTTATTGATATGTAACATAGTTTTAAAGGCTTCCAATAGCCTTGTTGAACTTTCCTGCGTGGCTCCCAGACCGTAGTAATACAGGAGATGACTGCCTCCAGTCTTCCAGGGCCGAGGCAACAGACTTTGGGGTTCAATAACTCACTCTTAGATAAGGCAGACCGGTATGGAGCTATTTCAGGGTCATAAGTTTTGATCATTCAAAAAAATACAATTTATTTGAAAGTTCAAGTTTTTATCCTGAACTTTGAAAAATACAATGATGTATTCAAACCAAAAATAAGTATTTGAAATCATTTTTCAGGTTGAATATTATTTTGATTCAGTTCAGCAATTTTTTAAAATAAAATATTTACTTTCATATTTCACTTGTAGGCCTATACATATTTTGATATTTGAATCCTTCTTTTTGTCAGTTGCAGATTTTACGTTTTCAGATTCAAAACAATAATTTTTTCAGTTTCAAATCTTGTTTTTTCAGGTTTCACATTTGCTTTTCACCTTCAGATCGTTTTTCACTTTCAGATCTATTTTTTTTCGCTTTCAAACTTTTGGCCCTGATGTTGCTTGGCATCCTGAGTGGCAGGCCTCCTTCTGTCATGTTGCCTTCATGGATGTTAGGTAGCGCGAGAAATATAACTCAACACTTTCTATTAGGGCTGTGCGATTATGGCAAAAATCATAATTACGATTATTTTGGTCAATAATTGATATCACGATTATTAAATACGATTATTCATTGACTTTGAAAACATCCATTTATTGAACTTTAAAAGCAATACAAAAATAAATAAAATAAATGATACATTTAAATAAATAATATCAAAATAATAAATACCAATAAACAAGATCAACAAATATTTTGGAGCGCACTTCCACAAGCTACTAAACCAGGGGTCTCCAACCTTTCTTCATCTGAGAGCGACTTTCAAAAAATTAAAGTGGCCAAGAGCTACTTGCATCACATCGCTTACATTTATTCACATAGCCCTCATCAGTTGAATTAAGCTATACTTACGTGTGAAATTGCAATACCTAAAGCTTATCAAAAATAAGGTCCAAGAAAACGATGATTTCTCACATATTATTATGGCACACATAATAAGTACATCACTGAACATTCACATAAGTGTCCTTAATCACCACCTTACAAGCATTTCACTCTTTTGTTAGTGAGATGAATGGCACTGCATGCAGTCCACCATAGAGGTGTATGCTGGACCCACTTAGGTTCACTCTAATAGAGTCATTTAAATGTTCATCAGTCAGTATTGTTCTGTATTTAGATTTAATTCATGTCAGAAAAAGCTGCTTCACAAAGGTATGTAGAACAGAACCAAATAAAGCAGACATTTTCAGTGCTGCTTGGTGAATGTTCTTATAGTTTTCTGGGTCTACAAGGCTCCAGAAATGTTCTGAGTTTTGCTGAGACTTAAGCTGAACATTATTTTGGAGATCTCCACAGGATTGACACTGAACAGTTGTTCAGCCATCTTTTTCTTCTTCTTCTTCGTCTTGACATTAAATTATAAACCATAATAAATTAATTGTATAGGTCTAGCCTCCCTATATCTGTGTGTGAAAATGGTTCCATCCTCAAAAACAAAAAACTAATACTTCTGCAGTCTAGCTGCAACTTCTAGCTACGGTCTTCTGTTAAAAAAAAGACACTGAATGTCTTGAATGTGGCATCACACACATGACTTGAGTCTGAAAACAGCAGGAGTATTTACAATAGCATTATAAAAACAAAAATAGTGCATGTGGGTGCACACTTACATTCTCTGTCTTACTGTTACATAAATCCCATGAATGTATGAGATTAAGTTAGCTTCATCATATCTCAATCAGTGATTAAGTGAATAATAAAGTTTCGTTTCTACTCATTATTTTCAGGGAGGGGGCGGGGTTTGGAGGAACGGAGAGGAGACGGTGATCGCGGAAGCTTTCCTCCTGCCTTCACAAACTTTACACAAGTATTTATCAACTGAAAATAGCAAGAGGACATTCATACTCTGCAATCCAAGACTTGATTAAATTCACCAAAAACCTGACATGACGATAACGAGTGTTTTTCAAAAAACACAAATCCCTCCCTGTGTGTCTCTGAGGCGCAGCGACAGGGCCTGATTCAGAGCGGGTCATTCTGCTGTTAGTTCTGGACTGGTGTTGGTGGAGAAAGCAGACTGCTCCGTGTGTGTTGTCGCTGTGCTGCTGTCACGTCTGTTCCTTGATCTCTGCGTCACCGACCATTTGATATTCGTGTGACAGAAAACATTCTAAAATAAAAAAACGTTATTGTCCAGCCGCGGCCGAAAAATCAATAAGCAACCTTATAATATATAATCGATAATCGAGCGGCGAGCTACTGAAAAGCTGCCCGCGAGCTACCGGTAGCTCGCGATCGACGTGTTGGAGAGCCCTGTACTAAACATATATAAATATGATAAATACAAATAAATGAGACCAAAATGAATGAGATCCAATATGTTGCACTGTCACAACCAAGCAAAGCAAAATAATAGTTTTTTTCGATTATGTTGTTTTCGTAATTGTGGCAGGCCAAAATCGTAATTGCGATTAAAATACGATTAATTGCACAGCCCTACTTTCTATACACAATACTCCCGTTTGATTGATTGATTGAAAAGTTTATTAACAGCTTGTATATTGGGTACAGTACAGTACAGCTCAAAACATACAATTGTTAAGGGGATGCAGACCAGAGAAAGACTTTCGTCTTGTTTACATCAGGGTCCCCCATTTCCAATTCATCATATAATTTAAGACATATTTGACATACAGACGGCTTATTTACAATTTACATACAGGTGGTTTTTTACATACAGATGGCTTATTTACAATTTTCATTTTAGATTTCGTTCTAATACATCCTAACCGGACATTTAAGACATACTAAGTCTACAGATATACAGTTAGTAACAGAGTCTAAAATGCGAGTATATACATAGATGGGTGGGGGGAAGCTGTCCATTGTACGACAGGTTGAGATTTGTACCATTACCGGGGCCAGTTTTGCAATGCTCTCCCCCTAAGGTGCTCTTTAAGAGAGGTTTTGAAGGTAAGTATAGTTTTACTTTCCTTTACAGTTGTGGGAAGAGCGTTCCACCTTGATGTGGCATAATTGCGAAACGTGTATTCCCCCTTTTTTGTGCCAAATCTGGGTTTTACATGATTTGTGGAGCTCCCTCTGGTGTTATGATCATGGTATTCCTTGACCTTTGGGAAGAATTTTGACATGTACATGGGTACCATAGAGGTGTAGTGGATCTTGTAGACCAGGCCCATTGCAAGTAGCTGTACTCTGTCGTCTACTCTAAGCCATCCTAGGTTGTCAAAGTGGGCAGAGGTGAGGTGGGTGATTGGTGGTAAACAAAACTGATACCAGCGTCAAAGTTCCGTTAAGCGAGCTGTTGAGCATCGTAGTTGGCAACAATCAAGGTATAAGAGCAATAAACTGTGCTAGAATGTGAAATTACGTATCCGCAATTAAGCGTTGTCCTTCCCCACTTCCACGTAGCTCCATGAACGCAGCATAGTATTGGCTTGGTTTTTGCAATCAGAATCAGAATCAGAATACCTTTATTAGTTCCCCAGGGGATACATTTACATTGTTACAGCAGACAAGAGCCAAAGACAGCTTAATGTTACCTAAAGCATGCATAAAAAAAGTAAAGATTAAAAAAAGAAATTATATATATTTTTAAAGTTACACATTTTACATAATACACACCCTGTAACAGTTCTGCGGATTTAGCAGCCAGGTATATATTGCACAGTTTTTAACGGCATATATTGCACATATTGCAAATATTGCACATAGTTGGTATTTATCAACAAGAGGTGTTATGCAGGGCTGCCAACACTCACGCATTGAGCGTGAAAGTCACGCAATTAACCCATATCTCACGCACTCACGCCACGCTTGCCTTTCCTCACGCTAAGTTTTCGTCCAAAATAAATGTATATAAATATAAAAATAAAGTGAAGGAACAGCAAACCGAGCCGTCTACGAAATGAGACAGTCTTATGGCTTAGTTCAGTCAAGTTGGAACGATATTGGGAGATTCTGATTTCACGGATCAATAACTCATGAACAAAACGTCATTCAGACACAAATGACGTCTCCTAAGTACCGTGGTAAGGTTGACAACGAGCTACAATCACATTTTGATCAAAAAAAGCCAATACGCGCCGTCCTCCGAGCTGGACACATTACATTGGTCTCTATCCGCAGCCGGAGAAGAAACGAGTGCTCAGGGACCGTCTGCAAAGTGCAACTCCGAAAAAAGAGAATACAATAATATTCACTATTATACAGCTTATTACTACCAAACTCACTACACACATCAATAGTCTCCTGTGTGTCATACTACAGCAAGGAGTTTGGAAGAATATGCTTTTGAATAATTTTGGGGAATATTTATAATGTAAAATCTTCAATAAATATGGCATCATCTTAAATAACTTTACTATTATACAGTATATTTCTACCAAACTCACTATTTGCATTGTTGTTGTTAGCATCTGGTTAGCTAGCTGCGCTAACGGATATTAGAAGCTGTTTCTAAAACAAGGAGAGGGAGAGCTCTCTGCTGTCAGACTGAGAGAGATAACTACAGCTCAGTGAGGTAAGGGACTCTCTGAGTGTTAGAGATAGTTAGTTTAGTCTAGTTATCTCAGTGAGTCTCAAACGGTTTGGTCACCATTTATGAGAATAAATGAAAAACAGTTATGAAATACTATATGACAGTAAAACAAGAATACAGTTTAAAAGGTGAGTGATTTGTAAAATATCCATAAAGAAAAAGAAAATCTGTTTAAAGTTGTGTTTCATATGGGTGTTGAGAGATGTATCTTTAAATTCATTTTGCTCTCAAAGTGCACCAGATTGATGCATTTAACTTCAATATTTAAAAAAAAAAATCTTCCCGGGGGAGCATGCCCCCGGACCCCCCTAGAGGAGGTAAGGACCACCCCCACTTATAAAATAGCACTTTACCCCTGCTTACACCTATATGCCATTTTATATGCTGTGAGCTGATTATCGAGCCTTCATTGTAAGAGTCGCGGGTACACTGTGTATGTGCGTACTCCACTGTAGCGCCCGGTACATTAATGGGAAACCCTAGTTTGTACTTGTTCAATACATTTGTAACACTGTACACATGGACGTTTCTTTTTTCGGTTCACCAAAAAAAAAGAATCTCACTCCAAGCTGAACTCAAATGTTGGCAGCCCTGGAGTAGGAGAAAAAACTCATTTTGAGAAAACGACCTTTAAAGATTGCAGTGTGACGCTAGCTAAACCCTCCTGTTATCTGGATGATAGCTTGCGCATCGACGCACTCCGTGAAGGTATTTCATGTTCGGGGTCATTTGGTTTTTGTATAACCTTGCTTTGTGCAAGTGACAATTGTTGTCGTCTTCTCTGTGAACGTTTTTTTCTCCGTTATTTTGCCATTTTCAGATTTAAATTTCTAGCGGAAAGCTAACCAGGAAGTGCTTTAGCACACCACGTGACGCATCTGAACGAATCACGTTGTCAGAAATTGACACCAGCCAATGAGATTTCGTTTCTTGGTTTAAGACCCCTTTGCACTTTCACGATTGGTTGCTGATACAAAGGAAATGACCATATTTGGATCCGATGAGATTGTGCAGGAGAAACGGATACATTTGTAACACTGTACACATGGACGTTTCTTTTTTCGGTTCACCAAAAAAAAAAAATCTCACTCCAAGCTGAACTCAAATGTTGGCAGCCCTGTGTTATGTTATAGTCTGTGTTGTTTTGTGCGGGGAGGGGCTGTGCTGGTTGTGTCTGACCGCTGCAGGAAGGAAGGACCTGCGGTATCTCTCCGTGAGACAGCGGGGGATGTGCGTCAGGTCCACCAAAACAACCTGCTGGCTCGTTGCGGATACGTAATTTCACATTCTAGCACAGTTTATTGCGCTTATACCTTGATTGTTGCCAACTATGATGCTCAACAGCTCGCTTAACGGAACTTTGACGCTGGTATCAGTTTTATTTACCACCAATCACGGGAGTATTGTGTATAGAAAGTATTGAGTTATATTTCTCACGCTACCTAACATCCATGAAGGCAACATGACAGAGGGAGGCCTGCCACTCAGGATGCCAAGCAACATCAGGGCAGATCTGAAGGTGAAAAGCAAATGTGAAACCTGAAAAAACAAGATTTGAAACTGAAAAAAATATTGTTTTGAATCTGAAAACGTAAAATCTGCAACTGACAAAAAGAAGGATTCAAATATCAAAATATGTATAGGCCTATCTGAGTACCTCATTGAGAAAGTTGTGTGCACCCCTGATAATAGGGGACCTTTAAGTTGTACATCGATAAAGGCAATTCCTTTAAGATGTGCTATAATTGATAGCACATCATGTTTGGAAGTGATGTGTGTTGTTGAGTGTTAATTTGGGTACATTGTTGACCCGTTTTTGTTGGGTTTCCACCGTAGAATTGTATTTTTTTAGTGATATCTGTGGTGTGGTTTTGGCGCGAATTAGACGCGATCTGCGTCATTTTCTTTGTTTACATGTTAACCCTTCCTTTCTTTTCTTTTGTAAAGATGTGCAGCGTGGATTCAAGGAGAATATTGTTTTTGTTCTCAGGTATGTTTGTGTTTGTATTTTTGTGTGATTACTTAATAAGATTTTCTTGTTCATTTAATAATTTCTTAATCTATAAATAAGCTAGTAGGCTATGTATGAATAAATACTAAAGTGACATTGAAGTGAGTGCTGCGGAGGATGTGCAGCGTGGATTCAAGGAGAATATTGTTTTTGTTCTCAGTCCTCAGAATAAATGCCAGAAAACACCCCAGATGCTTTGCTGTCGTTTCTTGAAGGATAACGGGTCGCTTACAGTTGTGACCCGTTACAAACGTAACTTTCACTTTCATGTTCAGTTATAGCCTATAACTGAACATGAACGTGAAAGTGAGCAGCTGTTAGCATATAAAACAGACTTTTCCTGTCAGTTGAGAGCTATCTGATTCTGGGGTTAGTAACACGTTAGATGACCAATATTTATCTGTTTTCATTTTAAACAAGCAGGTAATAAGTTTAGGTCTGAGTCGAGGAACTGCAGAACGCACACTGTCAGAGGAGAAACATGCCTGCTGCAAGGTAAATAATTTATATCGTTGGGACACTTTTACACAGAAAAAGACATTAACGACATTATTTTGTAGTGAGTGTCATTTAGCTATTTCCACTGTGTGTTTAGCACTTCTGTCTCTTTGTGGTCGTCTTCTTTGTGTCTCTCTGTAGTTGTTTGTTTTTATTTGTATGTCTCTTTGCTTTTTGTCTCTGTGTAGTTGCTTGGTTTCGGTGAAGCAGAACTCTTACTGCGGTTCAACTTCAGTAATTAGTTTACCCTGAAGATAAAGAGAGGCTCTCAGGCTTGTTGTCTTACAGTATTTATTTTTCCTCAAAGTTTTCCTTTCACTTTACTGTATTTGACAGAGGCATCATTTCTGTTTACACAACTGTAACTATGTGTTGTGCAGGAATGTTGCACCAATTTGTTTTGGATCTGTATATTTGTGTTTTTGCACATATTTTTGTAGACTTGAACAATCTTTTTATGCAGAATTCTCAACACAAAGATCACCATTAAAGATGAGTGTGCTTTATATAAAGCACCACAGTGTGTAGTTGGTGCAAAAGGTAGTAGTAGTTTGGTTTTGGTAAGTGTTTATGTAGTTTTGGGTGCAGTGCTTCATTTTGCAAGATATATGAGGTGTTTTGCACTTTGGGTGTGTGGTTTTGTGAATTGTGTTTAGTGTTCTGAGAAAATGAGCCCTGTTGTCAAAAAATGTGTTTTAGCAAATGAAAAAAACTGTAATACAAAAATATGTATTCAAAATCAATTCATGACACATCAGTAATCAAAAATATTGTGCTCCTTAAGAAAGATGTATTATAACCTAACATGAGCAACCTAACTTGTTTTTTCTTTTTCAAATGTACTGATGGTCCCTCATGAAAACTATAATTTAATTAATTATTATAATTATTATGATTAATTTGTTTGTGAAGTCTTAGCCGCAGATAAGAGGTTGAAGAATTATTTCAATAGAGGTATTTTTTGTTACAGAAAAATGCTCCAGGAGGCCTTGTGCTGCTACACCGCAGATACCCTCATCGACATCGACACAGTGAAAGAATTCTGTGAGCAGAGTTCTGAATGGATGCTACAGAGGGAGAAAGAGGTGGATATGATGATTGACATCAAATCCAGGGCAGATAACATTGACCTCAGCATCGGCCATATTACCCAGTCACAGACCAAAGGTAAAGCCTTTCTGCAATATATGAAGAGCAAGGTAACCCTGCAGGGTACTGCAGACGGCAGGCGAGCAGAGCTGGAGGAGGAGCTGGCTGCTCTGCTGAAGTCCACTCTGGAAGGCCTGGGGGAGCTCGACCGCTTCTTGGCTGCGGTGGAGAATTTGGCGGTCACCTCACTTCCTTTGTTCATGGATGAGAACCAGGTGTTACATCTGCCTGAAGGGATCAGCCCTGTAATGGTTCAGGTTGTCATCATTACTGCACGGATGATCTGCCCTCACCTCCTCAAGTTTAAAAGAGTTGCAGACGCCTTCTTCTGCCCCAAACTTCAGAATGTGGAAGTGCTGGCATATCAGCTGGACAAATACATAAGGACCACCGAGAAAATCTGTGAGAAGTTAGAGAGAAGGTAAAGAGGCATATGCTTAAAATAATATGCACATTTTGCAAAATAAACATCTATGATAAAAAATATTTTCCTGTTTTTCACAGCTCCTTCTGTGACTTTTGCCTGAAGATGAACGACGATACACTGGTAGAACTCGCTGTGGATTTGTCTGAAGACGACACACAAAGGATGCTTCATCACATTAATCAGCTCGAGGAACTCAGGTACGTGTAACTCCTTTATGTGGTTTTTGTCAACACAGCTGTGCAAGGTGTGATGAGTGATGATAATAAAAATGATGACATGCACTCAATAATTGGCTTGCTTGTTGTTGACTGCATAGCCATAGACTAACACAAATCTTTGTACACATTTTAATAGTTACTTCAACCTCAGATTTACTGTATGTTCAGTGGTAATTAGCAAACCCTAGAATGCTAACATGCTCAACTAAGATGGTCATGCAATTACACAAGCAAAATACATTTTTAAAAAGCTTAAAAAATGCAAAGGAGCTCGAGATACAGCATTAATGCTTTAGACCAGGGGTCAGCAACCTTTTTGATATGAAGTGCCATTTAAAAAAAAAAATCCACATTAAGATTATCATTAATTGCAATAATGACATCACAACATTTCCAGCGGATCTGTAATTTTATTACATCAAAGTGCATAGCAACATTTAAAAGAAAGCAGCCATCCTTATGAAAACATTCACATCTGAGTTGAAATCACTAATCACTGGGGGAAACTTCTGAAGCAATTGGAAACAGGACTCGGAGAGCAGGAGCTTTGATGGCAAACACTGACGGTTGATGTGGAGCTTCGGCCGGAGAATTCACAACAAATGTCATGAGCCACGAGTTGACACAGGTTGAGATGCCAAATCAATTCTAAAGATCTCTACCCCAGACCCATGTATTTAGCTAGTTCTGAGAGAATAATCAACATTGTGCACAACAAGATAGAACCATAACACCTCTATCAGCTGACGCCAACAAGCAGGAACAGGGAGACAAAACACTGAGAGCACAGCAGCCAAGGCTACAGGTGCCTGTGCTCAGTCAGGACAGTTTAAACTGATAAACTGGATCACAGTTATGGGCCCTGGAAAATATTTCCCCAACAATCACCAATTAAGCACCAATCTTTAGCAATAAACTTGCAATGTGTTAACAGCAAATGTCAAAACGGGTGAATTAAATGTAACAAACAGAAACATGAGCACCAAGTAGCTCCCATCCATATTTAGTTAAAAGCATCAATCTGGTGCACTTTGAGTGCAAAATTAATAGATCTATAGATACATCTGTCAACACCCATATGAAACAGAACTGTAAACAGATTTTCTTTTTCTTTATGGATATTTTACAAATCACTCCCCTTTTTAAACTGTATTCCTTTCGTGCATGGCTTCCTTCCGCAGGTAACGGGGAGACGTGCTTTGGCGGCGGTCTCGTTCCGGATCCGAAAAAACTATTAAAATATTTTTGCACACTTATTCCACTTATTCCTAGTGGGCCACTGGTTACGGTACAGCGTGCCAATGGTGGCACGCGTGCCTAGGGTTGCCGACCCCTGCTTTTGACTCTATACTGTTGTTTGATTTTGCAGCAACTTCAGGGTTTTAGAGGTAACTTTTGTTACCAAATAGACCTAGCTAGATATCATGATTCAGGACTCGTTTTTGAAAGCATACCTGGCTTATGAAATATTTAGTTTTTTGTTGATTTTATTGCGCTATGTTGCCTCCTAATGTGTGTCCCATAAAGAAAATCTCAAATCCAATATTTTTATACTGTATTATGGGTTACATACTAACTTTTTTCATTCATCATGTTATTTTGTATTTACTCTTTTCTCATCGTCAGGATGAACCAGAGCTTCCGGATGGTGTTCTTGTTTCAGGGGGACGAACCCTGCTCTGATTTCATCAATAAGTTTAAAGAGCGACAGCCGAGGATGGAACAGTCTCTCAAGGACCTGGAAGAGCATGCTGTTCAGTTAGACAGGATGAATATGGGAGCAAAGATCTCCAGTGTGGCAGGCAGCTCAGTGGGGGCAGTAGGAGGTGTGCTCTCCATCGTTGGTTTGGCTTTAATTCCTGTAACAGCTGGAGTGTCTTTAGTTCTGACAATGGCCGGGGTAGGCATGGGAATTACAAGCGGAGTCAACAGCGCTGTCACCACTGGCACAGAGATTAGAGTAAATAGTACATATCAAAAGAAAGCCAGAGAAGTCTTCGAGAGCTTCAGGGAGGATGTGCAGTGTCTCCAGGATTGTCTGGAGGTCGTCACCAAAAGAGAAAAAATCCACATAGATGTTGTTCTCGGGGTCGGCAAGGTGCTAGCTAAAGTAGGTGTTATTGGAAAAGGTATTGACTCATTAGTTGATGCAGCCTCTGCTTTCAAGCTGTTAAGAAGTGAAGAGCTGGCTATGAGTGCTGCTAAAGTGGCAGTGCAGGAAGGGAAAGCTTTACGCAGCGTTCCCAGGGTGGCGTCAGATATCCCAGATATCGGTCAGGCAGCAGTCAAAGGGCCTCTTGCCCTCTCCAAGTCAGCCAGGGCCGGTTTCATTGGGCTCAATGCTCTGTTCCTCGGCATGGATATCTTCTTCATCTGTAAAGATAGCATGAGTCTGGCCAAAGGAAGCGAAACTGAGGTCTCACAGTTGATCAGAGCCAGAGCAGCACTTTGGAGATCAGAGGTGGACTCATGGCAGAAGATCCATGACTTCCTCTGCGAAGGTTTGAAGATATCGGAAGAAAACAAGGCTATCCTGGAGACACCAATTTTTCCAGAGAGGAAGATTAAGAAGCGCTAAGCAACTTAAATAGACGGCAACTGACAGCTAAATGGAGACAATAACTGTATTTTTTCTTTGTTGCCAAACCTGACACTATAACCACATAATGAGACTGATTTAAACTGCTTACACATCACTGTTCATCACATATATCTTTGAGAAGTTCCTAATTCTAAGAAGTGATTTTTCTAAACCTTTCCTATATACAAATGTTAAACAAAATATCAATCAATCATGTAATCACATTCAATGTATATAACCCCTGCAGTGCACAAGGAACAACTAAACAAGAGAAACTCCAGAATAAACGGGTTCAAATGAAAAAGAAACGTCGGGGCGAGCAACTGAAGAGGGATCCCGCAACAAGGACGTGGAAAATATGTTGTGTGTACAGAATAAATGAAGTTAATTCTATAATATGTATGATCTGCATTATTTGTATGTATAATTCTAACTACATTTTTTTCTTGTACAAATGAATCAATAAAGTTTAAAAAAGTTAAACATGGTTTATGTTCATTTGAATGATGCATTAATATATAGATATATATTCTAAGCATTTCGCTGCTTTTGTTTACTATAATTATTTTAAATTATTTTTTAAATAGCTTCTCAATCACACCATTCATATCTTATGCATTCAATCTCTCGTAATGATAATACTGGCAGCTCAGCACAGCTGGTAGTCAGTCAGAGTCAGGTCAACCGGAGAAAGTTGAGTTACTAAACAACTCCAGCTGAAGTCAATAACTTTGACTTTGAAGTCAAGGAAGAGAGAGGGAGTTTGGTAAAGGGTTTATTTTGTTTGGTTATTCTTGAGGTTATGTATTTGAATGTAAAAATTATTTGGCAACAATCCTTTGTATTTTATTGCCTTGTACTACCAGGCAATAATAATTGTTAAACATGTCTGCTGAAAGGTAAAGCATTGATATAGTTGAGCCACTTTTGCACAGAAAAATACATTAAAGACATTAACCCTCTAGTAACAGCTAAGTGTCATAAAGTATGTGCACTATGAGTTTTGAAATATTAAATAAACGGAAGAAGTAATGTTAAAGCCTGTTGTTTAACAAAGACAACAAATAGAGAAGTAGCCATGTCACATCTGTCTGTTTGTGGTTGTTTTCTTGCATTCTTCTGTCTCTTTGTAGTGGCTTTTTGTCCATGTGAAATTGATTAATACCAATCTCAGTGACAGGTGCAGGTGAAGCAGAACTCACAGGTCAAACTTCATTACAACTTCAGCATTCAGTTAACTCGGATAAAGAAAGGCTCTCTGACTCTTTGTCTTAATCTTTCTGCCACAGCAGATCATCACCGACACGCCTCTTCACTCTGGATCCAGCGGCGCGTTAACCTTTTAAACGTTAAAAAAACTTCTTATTTCAGTATGTAGTACTGTATGTATAAAGGTGTGGCTCATTGAAAGCTTATGTACATGCAGCATGCGTGGTGTGTTAAGTCTGTATCTTCATGGTTGATTGCACTGATTGTAAGACCATTTGCATAAGCTGAATGAAATGTAACGTAATAATGCAATAGGTGATAATAGTTCATAGCGATAATTGGTGGAAGCCAATGGAATGGAAGCCAAAATCCGCCTACTAGATGAAAAAAAGGATCCTCTATGTCACTTTAATTAGAAATATTTTGATTTAGTATCGCAATATGGAGTTAACAAGTGAACATAATGAGATACAGTACTTAGTCAAAATATCACATACATCAATAATTTATTTTCATTATTTTTTAATAAAGGTTTTATTATTGGCTAAGGTACACTCAGAACAGGTGGGTTTTATGAGTTAAGTGAACTTTGAGTTTTACATTTGCTGATCCTGGAATGAGCTGATAACAGAAACTGATATGATGGTTCAGTCTGGTGATATGGAGAGGAGAAAAATGAAACCTAAGGATTTCAGCAGAGCCAGTCCACAGACGAGTTTGTGGTGTCTGTGATTCTGGTTAGTAACATGTCGATAAGGTCTTAATAAGGAACTGAAGACAGCACACTCTACCACAGTCAAGAAAGATGTCTGCAACAAGGTAGGAGTTTATATCGTTGTTGAGCCACTTTTGCACAAAGAAAGATAGAAAAAGCCTGCAGTAACAGCTAAGTTACTAGCTTCACATATGCGTGCTGTATTATAGTACACTTACGTTTTTATAGAGGACTAATATAAATATATTTGTCCTAAATATATAAAAGTGTTTGTGCAGGAAGACCTATAAACTGCTGATTGTGGACTAAAATCCAATAGAAACGATGTTTCCCACTTGTCCATTGTATTAATGAAATTCTGCATTGGTTTGGATTCACTGGGTCACGTGATATGGATGAAAAAAAAAGAAGGAATTTCCAATAAAGAAACTGCCAAATGAATAACAGTATATAATAGAAAAAGCATCTTATTTTTCTAGTGTAGTCGTAGTATTTTGTATGGATTGAGCGCCACTGGTAGTACACAACACACAAAGTGCTCTATCAAGCTGGTGTTATTGAAAAGGTTTATTCATTTGTTGATGCAGTCTTAGCTAGGAGGTTGAAGAATACAAACAATAAAGGTATTTTTTGTTACAGAAAAAAACTCCAGAAAGTCTTGTGCTGCTACACTGCAGATACCCTCAACTACATCGACACAGTGAAATCATTCTGTGAAAAGAGCCCTACATGGATGCTAAAGATGAAGACAGAGTTGGATATGCTGAAGGACATCAAAGACACGGCTGACAACATTTACCTGAGCATCGACCATGTTACCAAGTCACAGAACAAAGGTAAGGCCAGTTTGGAATATATGAGGAGCAAGGTGACTGCAGACAGGAGGCGAGCAGAGCTGGAGAAGGAGCTGGCTGCTGTGCTGAAGTCCACTCTGGAAGGCCTGGAGGAGCTCGACTGCTTCCTGGATGCGGTGGAGAATCTGGCGGTCACCTCACTTCCTTTGTTCATGGAAGAGAACCAGGTGTTACATCTGCCAGGAGGGATCAGCCCTGTAACGGTTCAGCTCGTCATCATTGCTGTACGGATGATCTGCCCTCACCTCCTCGAGTTTAAAAGAGATGCAGACGCCTTCTTCCGCCCCAAACTTCAGAATGTGGAAGTGCTGGCATATCAGCTGGACAAATACATAAGGACCACCGAGAACATCTGTGAGGAGTTAGAGAAAAGGTAAAGAGGCATGCCCTTAAAATAATATGCACATTTAGCAAAATAAACATCTATGATAAAAAATATTTTCCTGTTTTTCACAGCTCCTTCTGTGACTTTTGCCTGAAGATGAACGATGATACTCTGGTAGACCTCGCTGTGGATTTGTCTGAAGATGACACACAAAGGATGCTTCATCACATTAATCAGCTCGAGGAACTCAGGTACGTGTAACTCCTTTATGTGGTTTTTGTCAACACAGCTGTGCAAGGTGTGATGAGTGATGATAATGAAAATGATGACATGCAATCTAATATTAATAATAATAATAGTAATAAATTATATTTATACAGCGCTTTTCTGGAACTCAAAGATGCTTTACAGTATGAGGGAGGGTAGACAAACAAGGACAAGCAAAACAAAAAAAAACATCAAAACAAAAAATAAAATAAATAATAATAAAATAGAACAAAACAAAATAAACAGAAAAGGCAGTTAAGAGGAAGTAAATTGAGGGGGGGAGGGGGCTCATGGATAGACAGAGTTGAAGAGATGGGTTTTGAGGCGGGACTGAAAGACTGTGAGGGACTGGGAATCACGAAGATCTTGGGGGAGGGAATTCCAGAGCCTAGGAGCTGCCACTGATACCCCTTTCACACCAACGGTGTTTCAGGGCCGGTTCGGAGCTGGTGCTTGAAAAGCACCGGGTTTTCCTGTTCACACCGCAGCGGAGCAGCGTCATAGCTCCGGAATCCGGTTCGTTTCGAGCACCAAAAAGTTGTCCGTCTAGAAGCAAGAACCGCATACGTCACGCTTACGTCAGAGGGGGGCGAGATTAACCTGAGCTAACACTTAAGGCGAGTACGGCAAATAAAAATTGTAACAAGCAGTAGTGCTGAGCAAAGTGACTAGAACGCAACCACACACTTTATAAAGTCAGGCAACACTAACCAGGCTTCGTGTGATTCTGTTTATTTGTACCTTACTTTGACCATCCGTTCGCTGTTATTGATCATTGTGGAGAGCAGGCAGACGTTTTGTTTGTTATTATAGCAGCTATCGGATGGAATCAATACATGGGCTGCACAGGTTGTCATGTCCGACTATCACAAGTAGAATCATAATGAAAAATACGTCGGTAAAAAGTGCCTGTAGAAAACTGCTTAGCAAGTAGTCAGTTTAGCTTCGGTTGCTATGCTAACATCACCCATGTTATACCAGAGAAACTTTCATAACAGCGTTGTGATGCCAAACAGCGTCAATTCAGACTGACACCAAACAGCGTCAATTCAGACTGACACACATTCACTTAAGGGGAACTGGGGATATGTATCAGCTGCTTGTGTGACAGTCAGACAGTGAATACTTTAGAGCCGTGTGAGCTAACCCGGAGCTAACGGGAGAATACACTCCCGTTGAAGAGCAGCCGGCCAGCACTGCAGCGGTCGGTAAATGCCGCTGAAACACATTAATAAACAATAAACCACGGCACTCTGGAGAAAAGTATAAGGTTGGAGAAGTCGTTATTTAATTTAATCTGGCTTCGTATGATTAAAAGCAACGCAGTCCCCGGCCCGTTGTTGTTGTGAGGTGAGCTCCGGCGTTGGGGAGAAACTCAGCGACGTAAACTGTGACGTCATGACGCAGCAGCGGCAGCAACAGTCGGGCTCTGAGCGGTGTGAAAAGAGCCGGCGCTAAACCGAAGAACCGGTTCTGAACCAGAAAAGCTCTAGCACGGAGCTTGAACCGGAGTTGCGTTGGTGTGAAAGGGGCATGAGAAGGCTCTGTCCCCAATGCTGCGGAGTTTGGATGTGGGAAAGAATGAGTCTGGCTGCGGTGGATCTGAGGGACCGTGGGGGTTGATAGGGGCTGAGAAGGTTAGTGAAATAGGGGGGGGGGGGCAGATGGTGGAGGGCTTTGTAGGTGAGGACCAGAATTGTATAGTTGATGTGGTGGGAGACAGTAAGCCAGTGAAGGTCTTTGAGTACTGGGGTAATGTGATGCCATGATTTGGTATGCGTGAGGAGTCTTGCGGCTACATTTTGAACCCGTTGGAGTCTATTGAGGGATGTAGTGCTGATGCCGTAGAGAATTGAGTTGCAGTAGTCAATGCGGGATGAAATGAAGGCATGGATTAGTCGTTCGGCTGCGGGGCGGGTGAGAGAGGGTCGGATTTTTGCAATATTGCGGAGGTGCTAAAATCAGGTTTTGACTGTTTGGCGAATGTGAGGTTTGAGGTAGAGGGTGGCGTCAAAGATTGCGCCAAGGTTGCGTGCCTGATTGGAGTGGGAAAGAGTGGTGCCATCGATGGTGAGTGTTATGTTAGTGACCTTGCTGAGGGTGGATTTGGAGCCGATTAGGAGGAGTTCTGTTTTGTTGCTGTTCAGTTTGAGGAGGTTGAGTTGCATCCAAGTTTTTATAGCTGTCAGACAGGAGTCGATGTGGGTGAGGGGTGGGTTATGGAGGGATTTGGTGCTGAGGTAGGGGTGTCATCAGCGTAGCAGTGGAAGTCCAGGTTGAAGTGGCAGAGTATCTGACCGAGGGGGAGGATGTAAATTATGAAGAGGAGGGGGCCAAGTACTGATCCTTGAGGAACGCATTGACTGAGGCTGTGGCAGAGGAGTGGTTGCGCAGGGAGATTAAGTGGGATCGTTCGGAGAGGTAGGGCTGGAGCCAACTGAGTGCAGTACTTTCAATACCAATGTCCCTGAGTCGGGTGAGCAGGATGTTGTGGCTCACGGTATCGAAGGCTGCACTCAGGTCGAGGAGCATGAGGATATTGAGGGAACCAGTGTCAGCAGAGGTGAGGAGTGCGGTTTCTGTGCTGTGGTGAGGACGAAATCCTGACTGAAGGTGTTCGTAAAGCTGGTTGCTTTGGAGATGGCAGTGGATTTGTTTGGCTACAATGCGTTCAAAGGTTTTTGAGAGGAATGGTAGGTTGGAGATGGGGGGGTAATTAGTGAGGGAGGAGGGATCCAGACCGGGTTTTTTGAGGATTGGAGTTACGGCAGCAGTTTTGAAGGCAGAGGGGACGGTTCCATGGGACAGCAAGGAGTTAAAAAGGTTAGCGAGATAGGGGCAGAGGACGGGGAGGCAGGACTTCAGGAGAGGAGTGGGTAGAGGGTCAAGGGAGCAGGTTGTGGGTTTTGAGGAACTGATCGGATTGAGTATTTCAGGTGGGGTAACCAGGTTGAACTGGGAGAGGCAGCACTGGGGAGGAGGAGTCGGGAGGTCAAGGGAAATGGGGGAAGAAGTGGTAGCGGTGGAGGTTGGGGGAGATGATTGTAAGTCAGAAGGAGCTGAAAAGGAGTAGTTGATGGCGTTGATTTTGTCTGCGAAAAACTGGAGGAATGAACTGCAAGTAGCGGAAGTAGAAGTAGAGAGGTTGTTGGCGCGGGGTTTGAAGAGCTTGTTGACTGTGGAGAAGAGGGTCCTGGGGTTACGGGAGGGGTCATTGAAGATGTTGGAGAGGTAGGCATATTATTAACTTGCTTGTTGTTTGTAGCATAGACCAACACAAATCTTTGTAAAGATGTAAATAATTCCCAAATTGATTCATGCTAATGTCTTTAGTTAGCAACTTACTTTACCTCCAATGCTGTCATTTCAAACTTAATCAATTTAATAGCCAGACTTTGTTTTGTGAATATATTTCTGCAAAAATGCCTCCAAGCTCAGATTTACTGTATGTTTAGTGGTAATTAGCCAACGTATATATTGTTACTGATATTTCAATATGAATATTTACTGTATTGAAGCAAGTTATAATCAGTTTATATTGTGTAGCTTATTTCATAGAAAAATCGTGTTATCAAATACGATACAGCAGGTGCAGTATTTTAGTACATCTTTCTCTAAAAAAGAAAAAGTGGCTTGTATTGCATTTCATGATGTAATCTGCAGTATGCTTACCACAATAACCTGGTCTCATGCTAATGTTGCAATAATAATTGTTATTAATTGCCACTACTTATTGATTTTTTGTCTAAACAATTCCTTGGCTACAATAAAACAACATACGACAAGTCAAAATTAAGGCTTGAAAAAGGGCTCCTGTTAAAAAAAAACCTGGATCAAAATCAGTTGAAATTTTCAGAATTTTCCAAATGTAATAATCAATATTTGATTTTGCAGCAACTCCTTGTTCAGCAGGAGTCAATACTATTGTATGTTTTCATTTTCTTATTAAATATTTATTATATATATTAGTTTTTTTATTTAGATTTTATTGCACTTAGCCTCCTAATGTCTCACAAAAAGGAAATCCAATATGTGGATATACTGTATGGGGTACATACTTACTTCTTGAGATTCATCATGTTATTTTGTATTTTTGTTATTTCTCTTTTCTCATCGTCAGGAAGAATCAGAGCTTCCGGATGGTGTTCTTGTTTCAGGAGGACGAACCCTGCTCTGATTTCATCAATAAGTTTAAAGAGCGACAGCCGAGAATGGAACAGTCTCTCAAGGACCTGGAGGAGCATGCTGTTCAGTTAGACAGGATGAATAAGGGAGCAAAGATCTCCAGTGTGGCAGGCAGCTCAGTGGGGGCAGTAGGAGGTGTGCTCTCCATCGTTGGTTTGGCTTTAATTCCTGTAACAGCTGGAGTGTCTTTGGCTCTGACAATGGCCGGGTTAGGCATGGGAATTACCAGCGGAGTCAACAGCGCTGTCACCACTGGCACAGAGTTTGGAGTAAACTGTACATATCAAAGGAAAGCCAAAGAAGTGTTTGAGAGCTTCATGGAGGATGTGCAGATTCTCCAGGATTGTCTGGAGGAGGTCACCAAAAAAGGAACAAGCGGGAAACATATTGCTCTCGGCAAGTTGGTATGTAGAGCTGGCACTATTGCAAAAAGTATTGATTCATTAGTTGATGCAGCCAAAGGGCCTCTTGCCCTCTCCAAGTCAGCCAGGGCCAGTTTCATTGGGCTCAATGCTCTGTTCCTCGGCATGGATATCTTCCTCATCTGTAAAGATAGCATCAGTCTGGCCAAAGGAAATGAGACTGAATTTTCTAAGTTTATCAGAGCCAGAGCAGCACTTTGGAGATCAGAGGTGGATTCAATGCAGATGATCCATGACTCCCTCTGTGAAGGTTTGCAGACATCAAAAGAAAACAAAGCTATCCTGGAGATGCCATTTTATCCAGAGAGGAAGATGAAGAGATGCAGAAAAAACTAAAATGGAAAAAAAGCTTTGTTTAATACAGTAGTGAACACCAAACAAAGACACCTACTGAATTTGAGTATTTTTGCCAAATCTGGATATGAAATCTGTATAATCACATATGAGGTGAATTTTAACTGCTACAGCTCACTGTTCACCACATGTATCTTTGACGTCATTAACCTTTTTTCAAACCTGTTTCAATACAACGCATTTAAGAGTTGCTATTGCTATGTAAAAATGTTAAATAAAACAATCAATAAATCAATGACATTGTGTATACAACCCAATACCACAAATTACACATTTGTATCAGGGGGCTTCACAGACTGTACAGCATACAACACGCTCTGTCTTCAGACCCATGCAGTGCACAAGAGAAACTCCACAATTAACGGGTAAAAATGAGAGAAACGTCCGGAAGCAACTGAAGAGGGATCGGAAGGACGGACAGATGTGCAAAAGATGTTGTGTGTACAGAATAAATGAAGAACATTCTATAATTTGTATGAACTGCATTATTTGTATGTATAATTCTAACTATATTTTTTTCTTGTACAAATTAATCAATAAAGTTTTAAGTAGTTAAACATTGTTTCTGTTCATTTTAATAATGGATTAATATATACAGTAGATATATATTCGAAAGCATTCCGATGCTATACTAGAATTATTTGAAATTATTTTCTCCAAGCTTTTCAATCACATCATCATATTTTATGCATTCGATCTCTCGTAATGATAATGCCGGCAGCTCAGCACAGCCGGTAGTCAGTCAGAGTCAGGTCAACCGGAGAAAGTTGAGTTACTAAACAACTCCAGCAGAAGTCAATAACTTTGTAAGTCAAGGAAGCGAGAGGGGGGTTTGGTAAAGGGTTTCTTTTGTTTGGTTATTCTTGAGGTTGTTTTTTTTTATTGGGCAACAATCCTTTGTATTTTATTGCCTTGTACTATAGGCAATAATCATTTTTAAACATGTCTGCTGAAAGGTAAAGCATTGAGCCACTTTTGCACAGAAAAAGACATTACAAACATTAACCCTCTAGTAACATAAGTGTCATAAAGTATGTGCACTATGAGTTTTGAAATATTAAATAAACGGAAGAAGTAATGTTAAAGCCTATTGTTTAACAAAGACAACAAATAGAGAAGTAGCCATGTCACATCTGCATTTTTCTGTCTCTTTGTAGTGGCTTTTTGTCCATGTGAAGTTGATTAATACCTATCTCAGTGACAGGTGCAGGTGAAGCAGAACTCACAGGTCAAATTTCAGTACAACTTCAGCATTCAGTTAACTCGGCAGATAAAGAAAGGCTCTCTGACTTTTTGTCTTAATCTTTCTGCCACAGCAGATCATCACCGACACGCCTCTTCACTCTGGATCCAGCGGCGCCTTAACCTTTTAAACGTTCCCGGCTCCACGAGGACAAATACGGCAAAACGCATCGGAGTAACGCAAATGCAACCGCAAAAAACCTTCCGTCCCCTCGCAATATACACCGGATTGTGTCAAGCTCCATGAGACGGCTCCGTTTACATCCAAACGCTGGAAAAGCTGCAGTACATATGCCGAACCTGTACGTGGCGCTGTAACTTCCTCCACAAAAGCAGCAACTTCCTCCACAAAAGCAGCGAAGAAGAATGGTTGTCATGGCTGCACTTCTGTGTATTCTCCGCGGTGGGGGCCGACAGAACCGGGCAGAGTTTTTCGCCGGTCAGCGTGTGTTAAAGTTTAAATCTTCCGGACAAAATTATAAAAGTGCCGGTCAAAGGTCTTCATTGTTATTTATTGAGCTTTAAAACAAATGAATAACGACGATATAATGATATATAATCATCAAATACACAGAGCCTATCTCTTTTTCCTCTCTTCTCACAGCGTCAGTGTCTGTCTCATGCAGCAGCTGATCCTGTAATGAGTGACCCGACAGTAAAAATAAACATATTTATAACTAGTTTAGGTAGTTTGAGAGGTAATTAAAATAGCTAAGGGTGATGATCTGACTTGAAGTGTGTGTTTTGCTCCCGCTGCATCACAGCGGCAGGAGCTGCGTGTCTCCGTCCTGTCAGATTAGACTTCACTCGCGTTTATGTCCATATCGAGATAAAGATAAATAATCTGAATTCAAGGAGGAGCTCCTGTAGATGTTGCACAAAGAACTGTAGCATGGTCAGTAGCGACTGGAGCACGATAGCAACCCTGCGGGGGAGAGGCGGGGCTATGAAAACGAATGACCGTATAGGCGACTCCACGGCCCCGTTGGACCCCCCAGAGCGCTCCGTTCCCAGATCTATCCACCTTTGGACCCGTTGTCGTTTGCGGGGTCTGTTTCTACGTTTCCCTTACGGCGTCGTCGAGCTTAGAGGGCTATACGCATGAGAAATATGCGGATTCAACCCGTTTTCGTCCTCGTGGAGCCGGGGCCTAAGGCTTTCTTTCTGCCACAGCAGATCATCACCGACACGGCTATTCATTGCTTAGTTGGTAGAACATATTGTGATAGTTACGGCAGTGAAGTTAGTTTTAGGTTGGATATTCGAAAGACGTTCACTCTGGATCCAGCTGCGCCTTATCCTTTTAAAACCTTTAGTACAGAAATGGGTGTGGTGGTTCTACCTAGGGTGACCAGGTCCCAACAAACCAAATGTGGGACAAGGAGTATGTTTGTGTGGGACAATGTGGGACAATGTGGGACACCCTCCCCCCCCCGTTTAAAATGTACTAGCGGTGATTATTTGCGGTACCGAGGTGGGCCGGTCGAGAGTCCCGGGCTGATTTGTAGTCCCAGTCCGCCGCTGCCCACGGGTAAATGTCTTCCCAGTCTTTGTTGTATGTGCATCTTCTTCTTTTCTTAGCTGTAGTTTCAGTTTCCTCCATTTTCCATAACCTGCTACGTCGCCTGCGTTATTGACTTTTATTGTTGTTGTTTGGCGGGGCCGCGGCGGTGTGTGTGTGAGTGAGTTACTCTCATTGGTTAACACTTGACCAGCACCCGCCGTGTCTTACAGTATGATTGACAGCAAACACAGCTCCGTGATGATAGCCTTCCCTGCTTTCTCAACAGCCATTGGATAAATCTGATTTTAGAAAAGCGTTTTTAGCCAATCAAAATGAAATATGCGGGACATCGTCTCAATTTGCGGGACGCACCAAAAGTCGTGAAAATGCTGTGCAGTCCCGCGCAAAGCGGGACATCTGGTCACCCTAGTTCTACCTGGTGATGTTAAAGGGCCCATGTCATGGCCATTTCCACTGATCATAATTACATTGTTGAGGTATACTAAAATAGATTTATACTGTGCAATTTTCCAAACTCACATTGGTTTCGCATACAGCATCTCTGTCAAGCATGTGTATTCAGCAGTATTCACTTTCTCCACTAAACGACTCGTTGGAGCTCTTGCCCCCCCCTCCCTGTGAGCCTAGTGTGCTCCGATTGGTCAGCTCGGCCACTCGTTCTGATTAGTCAACCACCAGAGAGGCTGCGCCCATGTCAGTGCTTTTCCCGGCTGCTCTCAGCGTAACATCAGTCTTATCACGGCGTCGGTACAGCGGTATATTTTATATACATATATATTTTTAACTGTTGTTATAGAAGAGTGTGACGGCCCCAGGGCCTTTGTCTTACGATGGGGTGGAGCTGAAGAGGGTAATCAGCGCGATCACGGACACCTCCGGACACTACGGCCCCAGTCTCTCTCCAAAGCGGCTGCAGGAAGACTAACTCTGCGATCCTCTCAACCACCTATCTTTGCATTTACCACAATAAATGTGCCGTGGTTTTGTAAACTCGTGTATGTCTCCTTGTCTTTCCGTTGTGGCCTACGAGCTACTCTCATAACAAAGAGTAAGTTATTTTTACCCGTTATAAACTACTACTGTTTGATGAGAAATCAAATCATGGTTTGCTATATATGAATTCAGGGAAGAAAGGATAGGCCTACTAAGTATTTCCATTAAACTTTATTTTTAGAAATGTACAAAATGAACATAAATATACATATATACACGGTATATCATCCATTCCTCCTCCTCTTGCCTGCGCACAGCCGGTGCGGTGCGGTGCCTTTTAGCACCCTCAGTAGTAGTAGAATCCCTTCCCCGTCATGGATTGTCCGCCAGGATCTGGCTGGACGAAATCAAATGCAAATCACAAAATATTAGAGAAACTTAGTTGTTTTAGATTCGTTAGTAGTAGTTGTGTAATGAACAGCTTGCCTGCTAATATGCTAACCTAGCTTTGTTTACCTTGGTAGCTAACACGATATGAACGTTAGCTTGGAGGAAAGGCAACTATAATGCAGTGTAATAAAACTACTATGAACAAAAGCTAGTGGTTCATATTAGGCTAGCAATAACGTGTTTATAATTGCAATCGTATACGGGTATTCTGCTACCATACAATGTAACTTGCATGAATACATTGTTTTGCGCTAGCATACAGCTAGCCTCGTTAGCTACATGCAGTATATGTACGGTCACAATGTACGGTAAACCGGAGTATACTGTATGAGTATTCCGTGTGTGTGACTGCAGACATTCTCCTGCCATGACAAACATGTAAGGCCATCTGCTGACATTGTAGTTGATATATTTAAACGCTAGCAACGTAGCATCACAAAAATGTTTTTCTGACCAAAACTAGCTCAAGCTCCGTGTGTTAGATCGCTACGCCAGCTATAATGTAATTACGTTTCGCGACTGACCGGCAAATCACCCGCAGTATACTGTCAATAGGTATTTTGTGTGTGAATGCAGACATTCTCCTGCTATGAGATACATGTATGCAAGGCCATCTGCTGATATTAGAGTTGATATATGGAAACTCTAGCAACTTAGTTAGCACAGTTAGCACTGTGTCAATGGCTTAGCAGTCCAACACAGTTTACACATTTAAACAGTCTTGTTTGATAAATACACAAATAACAATGCAAACTTACAGGTTGTATACCCAGATCTTCCCCTGCTCCAAACGGTCCAAACAAGCTGTGCATATCCGGCCTCAAACTGGGCAATGTTTTGGAAGCTTTCGTCTGTGAAATGCCGGTTCTTCGAACCTCTGGAGGAGGAACACGCCGCTGCTGGTGTGGCCATAGCTCTTCGGGATTGGTCCATTTCGTTCCGGGTACCGCATGACATCAGGCGGTACCCGGAACTAAATGGAAGACTCAAATGGGCAGTGACGTATCTCCAACGAGGCGTTTTGGGGAGGTATTTTCTGTGTTAGAGTTTTACTCGCTACAGGGTGTACTTTGAGGGTTTTGACTCTGCACACCGTTTACATGCATAAAAACCTTCATAACACACAAGGGGACGGGTAATAACCGGAAAAGCATGACATGGGAGCTTTAAACAAAGGAAACGAAACCTAACAGCTTCAGCTGCCATGTCAACTAAATTCCTCAACAAGTAGTCTGGTGATAGAGATTTTAGCAGATTAGTTTTCTGGTTCCTGGGGTAAGGGTGAGTGACAGGTCAGATGTACAATCTTTACCTATTTTAAACAAGCAGGTCATGAAGAAAAAATATTTGATCGTAAAGAGTGGAAGTATTTGTTTAAAACTT